GACCCGCGTCGGGCTCGCCCTGAATCGCGCCGCACTCGTCAACGGCCTGCAGGAAAACAAGGGGCACGCCCAGACGCCGAGCGTCGCGACGAGCGCGCGTGTTGATCCACCTCGCCAGCGTCTCCCAGTAAATGCCCATGCCGTAGCCGAGCCGACAGTTCTCGTGCTGGTGCCGAGGGTCCAGGACGCCCTGGTTGTCCGTGGCCAACGTCTTCTCCCAGGCGGACCAGACCTCAGGTGGGAAGGGCTTGCCCTCGCGCATGCAGCCCAGGAACGTGATCAGAGGGTCCCCGGGCTCGAAGCGCTTCGCGCCCTTCAGCTCGAAGACGCAGGGGATCTGAGAGAAGACCTTGATGGCGCGCTGGATCTCCACCGTCGGCGGGTCCGCGTACCTGTACGACTCGTCGTCGTCCAGGCGCTCGTTCACGTCCGTCAGGAGGCCAATGCTGCCGGTGGGCTTCAGCTGCAGGAAATCGCCGAGGTGCAACGCGATGGGCACGCGCCCGAAGTGGTGGTGTGGCCGCTGGTAGTTCGACTCCTGCACGTCGTGCGTGTCACTGCGTCCGTGGCAGGCGCGAAGGTCCAGCGCGTTGTACAGCGCGGCTGCCACCATGCTTATCTCCTCGATGGCAAGAACGCGGACGTGCTCCCACAACCACTTCAGCCTCTTCTGCATGCCCCCCGGCCGCAGCTTCGCGTTGGTGCACTTCTGAACTCGCATGGCACAGGCATTGCGCAGCGTTCTGGCTTTGACAGTCTCGGTGGGGATGTTCTTCGCCTGCGCGTTCGAGAAAGCCACGACCATCATGCTGGCCCTGTCCGGCGCCGGCGAGGGCCACACGTATTCCACCACTGGGAAGACGATCTTCTGCACGACGCGCGTCTTCCCCGAGCCGCCCTGGCCCAGCAGGAGCAAGTGCGTCACCTTTCTCTCGCTCCAGGGCTTCTTCTGCACGTCGTCCTCCCAGGCTTCGTCGCAGGCCTTGGCGAACTTGGCGACGAAGAGCGTCTGGTCCTGCGTGAGTCTCTGGCCCTCCGGCAAATTAGCGACCAGTTGGGCGATGTACGCGCTGGGCGTGGAGTACACGCTTCGGTCGAAAATGGCCGCAGAGGGGTCGGTGCCCAGGCCGCCGGCGCTCTCGGCCACGCCGTCGTCGACGCCCGCGTCATCCTCGTCGCCAGTGCTCTGAAGGCGGTCGTCCTGCAGCTTCGCCCAGGAGTGTCTCTCCTCGCGCGCCGCAGTCACCAGCGGTCGGTACCCGGCCGCGGGCGCAGGAGCGGTCGCGGCGTCCGCTGGCGCGGGCGCGCCCACGTCCTCGCGGGCCGCCTCGGACATGCACGGGAGCGCCAGGAGCTCCTTGGCCAGCTTCGTGAGACGCTTGCGGTGCGCGAAGTTCAGCACGTCCGCCATGTCCTGCTCCCCGTCGATGCCCCACGTCGGGACCGGCTGGTAGTGCAAGTGCTCTCGGACCCCCTTTGGAGGCGCGCCCGGGTGCTCTACGCCCTCGCCCGCCTCGGCGCCCTCGTCTTCGCCGGCGCCTCCACCGGTGGTCGCCTTGAGGTACGCGCAGGCACGTGCCAGTGGATACGTCCCAGGGGCACGACCCAGAGGAAACGCACAAGGGTGCGTCCCAGTGGACACGTGCGGGGGCACGACCCAGAGGAAGCGCACAGGGGTGCGTCCCAGTGGATGCGTGCCGGGAATAGCGTTCTGGGAACACGACGAACACGAAGTGGCCTACAGTTGGCTCCTCGCAATGCACTCAGAGACGAGGCTCCCGCCTGAGACTTCCTCCAAATTCAGGCCTGAGGAGCCCAAAAACTTCCTTGTTGCGTCCAAAATGTGGCCTGGGAGCTGCGTTCTGGCAGCGCGAGAACCCAAAATTGACGACAGTTACAGGTTTTGGATGACCCGCTCGGATTACCAACATGATCTGCGGGCCCCATAGGGAGGGGGCTCCCGCCTGAGACTTCCTCGCAATTTCACTCACAGACGAGGCTCCCGCCTGAGACTTCCTCCATATTCAGGCTGAGGAGCCCAAAAGTGACGACAGTTACAGGGTTCCGATGACCCGCTCGGATTACCAACATGATCTGCGGGCCCCATAGGGAGGGGGCTCCCGCCTGAGACTTCCTCACAATTCACTCTGAGACGAGGCTCCCGCCTGAGACTTCCTCCAAATTCAGGCTTGACGAGCCCATTACTCCGACGGAAGAACCCCACATAAGAATCCTCTGGGCGAATCTGGAAAAAGCCATCACCGTCGTCCTCGTGGTTGGTGAGGCGTCCTGGCTGTCTCTTCTGCGTATATTTCCTCTCGCCTTGGCGCGGGCCCCCCTTCCACTCCTTTACGTTGTCCCCATCCTCGCCCCCCTGTTTGTTCCGCGCCCCGCCACCTCCTCCCCTTCCTGTTGCATGAGCGCGCATGTCGATGTTCCTCGGCGCCGTCGCCGCCACGGCCAGCACAGGCGCGTTCTCTACTGGTCACGTCGCGCAGCCGTTGGGACAACCCCGCGGGCCAGGCTGTCGGGCAACCCCGCGAGCCGTTGGCGCGCAAGACCAAGCGTTGGGACAACCCCGCGGGCTTCGAGCGAGGCGCAGCCGCGCTCAGGCGGAAGGCAGCACGAAGCCCAGCTCTGCCGCGAGCTGCTTCGCCTCCGCCCTGGACAAAACCGTTCTCTTGTCGAACTCCAGGAGCGCCTTCCGCAGGGACGCCGGCGGCCCGCACTCCAGGAACTCTCGCGGCGGCGGCCGCAGGATCAGCATGTTCCGCATGCACGTGGCGCGGGAGAACATGACGTAGAGGTGCAGCCACCACTGCTCGTCCGACATGCCCGTGCGGCCAGCGTCCTCGTCTCTCGCGCAGTCGATGGTGACGCCCTTGCGCAGCGTCTGGCCCTGCGACAGCGTGGAGGTCAGGTAGGACGCGTGCGTCAGGGTGAACCCCGAGCGGCGCACGCTGTGCGCCCCCGAGCTCTGCCATGTGAACTCCCTTTCGCTGGGCCTGAACAGCAGCAAGCTCCGCGCCCGCGCCTCGGCCGGGCCGTCGTCGTCGGCGCCTTCGGCGCCCTGTCGCAGCACCTCGGCGACCTGAGGAGCCCAAAAACTTCCTTGTTGCATCCAAAGTGTGGCCTGGGAACTGCGTTCTGGCAGCGCGAGAACCCAACATTGACGACAGTTACAGGTTTTGGATGACCTGCTCGGATTACCAACATGATCTGCGGGCCCCATAGGGAGGGGGCTCCCGCCTGAGACTTCCTCGCAGTTCACTCACAGACGAGGCTCCCGCCTGAGACTTCCTCCATATTCAGGCTTGAGGAGCCCAAAAGTGACGACAGTTACAGGGTTCCGATGACCCGCTCGGATTACCAACATGATCTGCGGGCCCCATAGGGAGGGGGCTCCCGCCTGAGCCTTCTTCACAATTCACTCACAGACGAGGCTCCCGCCTGAGACTTCCTCCATATTCAGGCTTGAGGAGCCCAAAAGTGACGACAGTTACAGGGTTCCGATGACCCGCTCGGATTACCAACATGATCTGCGGGCCCAATAGGGAGGGGGCTCCCGCCTGAGACTTCCTCGCAGTTCACTCACAGACGAGGCTCCCGCCTGAGACTTCCTCCATATTCAAGCTTGAAGAGCCCAAAAGTGACGACAGTTACAGGGTTCCGATGACCCGCTCGGATTACCAACATGATCTGCGGGCCCCATAGGGAGGGGGCTCCCGCTTGAGCTTCCTCAGCAATTCACTCACAGACGAGGCTCCCGCCTGAGATTTCCTCCATATTCAGGCTTGAGGAGCCCAAAAGTGACGACAGTTACAGGGTTCCGATGACCCGCTCGGATTACCAACATAATCTGCGGGCCCCATAGGGAGGGGGCTCCCGCCTGAGACTTCCTCCCAATTCACTCACAGACGAGGCTCCCGCCTGAGACTTCCTCCATTTTCAGGCCTGGGGAGCCCAAAAGTGACGACAGTTACAGGGTTCCGATGACCCGCTCGGATTACCAACATGATCTGCGGGCCCCATAGGGAGGGGGCTCCCGCCTGAGACTTCCTCACACTTTACTCAACGATGATGAGGATGAGGATGATGAGTGGTGGTGAAGATGAGTGGTGAAGAGGATGATGATTGATTGTGGGTGGTGGTGGCGATGATGATGTTTGAATGAGGATGATGCCGATACCGATGATGTGAGGCAGAAGAGGAGAGGGGGTGGGGTGAGTGTTCCTGCGCGGGGTGTGCAGAGAAAACAAGAACCCCACTTTGGATGTGGGGAAAAAACGATTAGTCAAACGAATAGTATCATCATTCGTATCAAGATTGATGTGGTGATGATTAGTTCTACTACTGCAAGCATGCGTCTTAGTGGTTGTCTTCTCATTTGCATTCTTAGTACTGCAATGTTCTGATACTTACTATCAGCTCTCATCGCATTACTACTAGTAGCTCTCTTCCTACTGCCACCCCTTATCAGCACCCGCACCTCTACTTGTTCGGTGCCTGCTGGGCAAGAACTGGTGCTGCGCCCCTCTCGTTCCCCGGGCCGCCCCGAGTTCGCGGCGGGGCCGAAACCGGCTGCCTGCAGCAGATTTCGTAGCCCCCCCCTTTCCCTATCTCCCCCTTCTTTGGACGCCCGAAACGGGTACGGAAAAAAATGGGTACAATGACCAACAGCAAGTGTTGTCCCAGACCGACGGCGGCCGCTGTTGGGCAGGCGGCCGCGGCTGCACGGACAGCGAGTCCTGTGCAAGAGGAGCAGGAACTGCTGTGGGGCACTGTACCCATTTCAGGGGGGCGTAAGACCTGGGTACAGGGGACTCGGAAATCCCCGACGAGGTCGTCAAAAAAATGACGAGGCCGAGCCTGCATTTTGACGAGGCCTCCCGCTGCAGACATCCCACGAAACTCCTCCTCGTCAAAATCCGAGGCGCGGTCGTAAAAAAACGATGGCGAACCCGAGTCCTGGCAAACCCGGGTCTTACGCTCCCCCGACCATTGCGTGCATGCAGACCTCCCTTCGGCCCGACGAGCCCCGGCTCTCACTTCGGTGCGGCCCGGCTCGGCGCACGGCTGCCGCACGCGGCGCGGGGGGGCGGGCCCCCGGCTAGGCAGGCGTGGGCCCTGGCCCGGCGGGCCGTGGGGCGGCGGGCGGGGTTCACGGCTCGGCTGCGCGCAGGGGCGGCCCCCGCTCCTCCTCCTCCTCCTCCTCCTCCTCCTCCTCCTCCCTCCTCCTCCTCCTCCTCCTCCTCTTCCTCCCTCCTCCTACTCCCCCTCCTCCTCCCCCTCCTCCCCCTCCTCCCCTCCTCCTCCTCCTCCTCCTCCTCCTCCTCCTCCTCCTCCTCCTCCTCCGCCTCCCCGTGCCGCCACGGGGCGCAGCGTTCGGCAGAGGCCTCCGCTGCGGTCACGTCTGAGCATCTTCTCGGGGAGGAGGGCTCAGGGTGAGATTTATATGGGCTTCTGCACCTGGAGGATCAATCCGTCTCGCAATGCACATTCTGCAGACTCGAGCTCGAAACGGCATGTCAGATTCACCCTTTGCCCCCCACCCAAAGAAAATGCTCGATACATCTCAGGGAGGAAGAAACGCCCCTCTACCCTGGGTTGCCAGCGCGTGGTCTGCAGACCTCCTGGGAGCTCCGAGGGGACGGAGGGCCGCCAAGAAGCCGCACGACCTGCGCGATACGCGGGGTCGACCCTGTCAGCCCACATGAGGTTCAGCGCACAGCGCCTGGTAAGCCAAGGAAGGGGAGTTTTTGTACAGTCGGGGCGTTGACCTAAGGAACCCTAAGTAAGGAACGAGGCCCCTTTTTCCATAAGTTAAACTTCGATTTACCATTGAAAACCTAAGGAAAACCCAAGTCAACCTGTAAAACAATCAAGGAACACCGAGCCCCTCCCCAACGAACAGGGTTCCTTCTTCAGGGCCCCGACTGTATGCCCTCATCTGGGTAGCAAGCTGTGGCAGGCCCCTCGGTGACCCACCATCCCTGCTGTGAGAGAGGGGGGGGGGGGGGGCAATGTCAGGGGGGGGACTGGCTCAGGGGAGGAAGCGTCGACCTGGAATCCGCGGTGCATCGCAGGTAGAGCGGCGCTAGGCCGCCGATGGCGAATCCGCACGCTCCTGGGCTGGGAGGGGCTGTCAGAGCCCTATCAGCGGTCGACGGGCGATTACTGAGCATGTTCTCAGGGTGGAGGGCTCAGGGTGAAATCCATATGGGCTTTTGCACCTCGAAAAATCAATCCGTCTTGCGATTCACCTTTTTGCAGACCCAAGCCTCGAAAATCCATCGAAACGGCATTTCAGATTTCACACTTAGCCCTCCACCCAAAGAAAATGTTCGGGATTAGGGGTCGATGCATTCCTCCCTGAGCATATCCCCCCCTATCGCTGCCCATGAGGCAACTCCACAGGCTCAGACCCAGTCCGGCGAGGTGCGGAGCATGGCTCTTCGGCCCTGCTGGGCCGAAAAACTGTGCGCTGCACCGCTCCTGGACCGAGCATCGACGGCGCCTCGGGAAATGCACACCCACAGGCGGATTCCGGAAGAAAATTGCAACATAGCCAACAAAATACTCAAAAATCGTCGAGAAACCGTCCCCAGACTACTCTTTGACTATTCTTGGATATTCCTCCCTTTTGGAGGGACATGCCCGGCTTAACAGTAGCCCGCGGATTCTCAGGGTCTCCCTGATGGGCCCGTTCTCCACCGCCACCACCATCAGTTGGAGGGGGGAAGGAGGCGGAGGACGAGGAGGAGGAGGACGAGGAGGAGGAGGAGGAGGAGGACCCCCTCCCCCTCAACCTTATGGTGGCGGTGGTGGGGGAAGGAGGCGGAGGACGAGGAGGATGAGGACGAGGAGGAGGACGAGGAGGAGGAGGAGGAGGAGAAGGTGGAGGAGGAGGACCCCCTTCCCCTCCAACTTCTGGTGGCGGTGGTGGGGGAAGGAGGTGGAGGACGAGGAGGAGGACGAGGAGGAGGACGAGGAGGAGGAGGAGGAGGAGGAGGAGGAGGAGGAGGAGGAGGAGGAGGAGGAGGAGGAGGAGGAGGAGGAGGAGGACCCCCTCCCCCTCCAACTGATGGTGCGGGTGGCGGCGGAAAATGGGCCCGTCGACCTCTGGTGCGTGGCCTGGCGGTCGTGGCGCGCGGTGCGGCAGCACAGCGGCCCGCGCGTGCTCGGGTCCGCCCTTCCTCCCCCACGGCGCCGCCCCGAGAGCCGCGCATCCCGGGGTCGCGCCGGCGAGGGGTCAGGTCGGGCACCATGGGCCCATGTTCCACCTCCACTGCCACAGGTAGGAGAGGGAGGAGGAGGAGGAGGAGGAGGAGGAGGACGATGGGCCCATGTTCCACTTCGCCTGGGGCCGCGGTCCCGTGGCCCGGCCAGGGCCCCTGGAGGCCGAAAGCGACCAAAACACCTCCCCTCGTGATTCTTCCACGACGCGAGCGTGTCTGGGGAGGGTGGAGGGGGAAGGAGGAGGAGGAGGAGGAGGAGGAGGAGCTCTCCGTCCTCCCTTCTCCCCCGTCTTACCCATGGTAGAGGTGGTGGGAAGTCTGCCCATCAGGGCATGTCCTTCTTCAGGGCGGTTGTGGGATGAGCAAATGCTACATAAGTTAACATATTCAAAAAAACACAACCAAAAAAGATTCGAAGCATTGCCCCCAGACTATTTTGTAACGATTGTTCATATTCTTCCTTACAGGAATGTGCCTGACTTAAGCGAAGGGTCACCCTTACGTGCAGCCAAATAGCCAGCAGCGCCCGGATCAGGTCCATCCCGGACTCGCCGAGCTCTGGGCGCTTCTCGTAGATCGGTTCGAGGTTGGTGGGCTGCCACTTCGGGAAATGGGGGCTCCAGTGCGCGAGGCACTGCTCGAAGCCTGGCCATGTCTCTTCCGTGGGGGAGCCCAGCAGCTGCATGATCCTGAAAAATGTGCCTATGTCGGAGTCTCCCGGGAACGTCGGCTGGCTGGTGGCCATCTCAGCGAGGATGCACCCGGCAGACCAAAGGTCCACCTCAGGGCCGTATAGGGGATGTCCCAGCAGCAGCTCTGGACCACGGTACCACAGGGTGATGACTTCTTGGGTGTACTTCTGGATGGGGAACGACAAGGTGCGCGCGGAGCCAAAATCGCAGATCTTGAGGCCGTCCACGGGGTGGATGAGGAGGTTCTGCGGCTTGAGATCGCGGTGAATGACGAGGCGCACGTGGCAAGCATGGATCCCACTGAGCAGGTCAGAAAAATGCTGGAGGACGCTCGCCATGGGCAGCTTGGTGCCCGCCAGCTGGTGGCCCCGCAGGACTCCGTGGAGGTCGTCACGGACGTACTCGAAGACCAGCTCGTACTCACCGACCTGCGTGACCTGGAAGTCCTTGAGCTGCACGATGTTGGGGTGGACCAGGCCCCGCAGCAGCGAGACCTCCCGGAGCACGAACGCCGGCACGCCGTCGCTCTGAGCCCCGTCGGGCCTGATCCGCTTGAGCGCCACGCGCTCGTTGGTGCCGCGATCCCTGCACAGGAAGACGGTACCGAAGCTGCCACTGCCGATAATGATGGGCAGGTTTTGCACCACCACCACCACAAGGTTGGAGGGGGAGGGGGTCCTCCTCCTCCTCCTCCTCCTCCTCCTCCTCCTCCTCCTCCCCCCCTCCAGCTTGTGGTGGTGGTGGAGAACAGGCCCACCAGATGACGCCCAGCTCCTCGTACCTCCGCTCCAGGGCCGCAGCGCCCGCCCCGCCTGGCTCCGGGCTGGCCTCCGAGCCCAGCACGCCCGCGCCGCTCGCGCCCGTGCCTGCGCCCGAGGCCAGGGCGTCTGCAGGGGAACAAAAAGTGGCATAAACATAAAAACTCGGAGGTCCGAGGATGAGGAGGATGAGGAGGAGAATGAGGAGGATGAGGAGGAGGACGTGGCATAAACATAAAAACTCGGAGGTCCGCGCGGAATTCTCGGACCCGCGCTTGACCCCCCTGGCGGCGCCCCCGGCGCCGGCCGCCCCCGGCGCGCTCCGCGCGCCAGGGGCGGGGGGTCCAGCGCGGGTCCGAGAAGTCCGCGCGGACCTCCGAGTTTTTGAATGTTTATGTCACTTCTTGTTTTCTTCGGTCCTCCTCCTCCTCCTCCTCCTCCTCCTCCTCCTCCTCCTCCTCCTCCTCCTCCGCCAACTCCTCCTCCTCCTCGTCGTCCCTCTTCTCCTCCCTGGCTTCCTCCTCCTCCCCCTCCTGCCTATGAAGGCCAGGGCGTCTGGCCCGCCCGCGGCCCCGGGCTCGGCGGCGCCGCCGGTGGGCGCGGGCGACCTCGTGCCGCGGGCCGCACCCGCAGGCCACGCTGCGCCCTCCCGGCACATCTCGTGCCGGCGTGCACCGGGGCTCGGCACCGAGCGCGTGCACAAGGCGGCAGGCTGCTGAGGGGGACGGCCAGGCAGAGCCCGGATGGGGGGCTCGAGCCTGCTCGCGGGGCGGGGAGGGCCGCGGGTGGCGAGGATGTGATGATATGGAGGTGAGGACGCTGATGCGAGTGCAGATACGGGTGCTGGCGATGATGCTAATGATGCCGATGATGGTGGTGATGATGATGATGATGATGACGATGACGATGACGATGACGATGATGATGATGATGATGATGATGATGATGATGATGATGATGATGATGATGATGATGATGATGATGGTGATGATGGTGATGATGATGATGGTGGTGATGGCGACTACGAATATGAGGATGGCGATAAAGATGATGATGATGATGATGATGATGATGATGATGATGATGATGGTGATGATGATGATGGTGATGGAGACTACGAATATTATAATGATGATGACGATGATGATGATGAGACTGATGAGAATGATGATGATGATGATGATGATGATGATGATGATGACGATGGTGGTGATGATGGTGAGGATGATGGATGATAACGATGATGATGGTGATGATGAATATGATGGTGATGATGATGACGATGATGATGATGATGATGACGATGATGATGATGCTGACGACGATGATGAGGATATTAATATTCAAGATGCTACACGACTGGGCTCTGGCGGGAAAGCTCGACGCACGCCTTGCAGAGCCGATCGCTGTACTCGAAGTAGATGGAGCGCACTAAGAGGGCGATCTTCGCGACGACGCCATCCAGAATGGAGCACCAAGGAGGTTGCTTCTTAGAAGGCGCGGGGCTTACATCTAGAGATAAGGCCCATGCCTTCTGAGAAGCAGGGGTGGTTCTAAGAAGCCTTCCCCCCTCCCCCTACCCCCCCTAACCCCCCTTCTGCGCATGGCCGAAGGGGCTCGCCCAGGCGCGGCGGTCGCAAAGCCTGGACAACTGCAGGAGGTGCTGGAGCGAGGGTCCACGATCTTGGAGTCACACCTCCCTGTCACTCGCCATCGCTCGAGCATCCATTCCCTGTGCATTGTTCGGCTTCGTGCGTGCATTGTTCGCAAAGTGGATAAAAATCCTCCTCGATGGTGCTTGCCGAGAAACAAGTGCACGCGTCCGCGCAATGCAAAAGTCAGCTCGATCCTAAGAAGCCGGGTCGGCAACGAGGCGAGCTGGGTACCAGCAAAGGTCGGGCGCTGGAGGAAGGCCGACCACATCGTGTTGGGCGAGGGGCGCGCGGCGCTGGAGGCGCTGGCACGCCTGGCGCGAGGTCGGGCATGTCCTCCTGCAGGCGGATGTTGAAAGAAAAAGGAACACATGTCAAACAATCATCAAAAATGGTCAAGAGAGCACGGAGAATCGTCATCAGACTATTGTTGTAGTGTTCGCGAGAATTCCTCCCGTCGAGGGACACGCCCGACTTCAGCATGGCGGTCATCCCCGAGGCCCATCGGTCGCAGATGCTCAGCCTGGAGGACATGGCCGCCGCGGGCGCTGCCGCGAAGGGGAGGTCGACAGCTGGCCAGGTCCACGACCTCCCGAGGAGGAGGTGCGCATCGCCGAGTGCGTCGGAGGTCAATTCGCACCTGCCCGACGGAGGAGACTGCCCGCAGAAGGCCTCCCACGAGAGAGAGAGAGAGAAGATGAGCAGGAGCCGGAGGGGCACAGAGCCCGAGTGCCGGAAGCCATGGCGTGCGAGGGGCGCGCCATCCAGAACTTACATCATCAAGCCCCCGAGCGCCTGACGACCGGCATGTGGATGGGCGAGTGCAACCAACAACTTTGCCAACCTATCGACGGCGGGCTGCAGAATTTTACGAGCAGTGCGTGGCGGAAGGTGCGTGCCCGCAGTCACCAGACGAGTGGGGCGACACGCCAACGGAGTACACGGCCGCCGCCGTCACCCTGAAGAGCCATTTCACGGCCATGCTCGCCGCCGTCGAATTCGAGCTTCCGCGGCTGAAGGGCCGCCTGGCTAGATACAACGCCGCCTTGCGTGATGCTTGTTCGAATTGCACACTTGCTTTGCAATGTGTCGAGAGATACGCGTCATAGCTTTGCCACTCTATCCAAGGACGATGCGCGTCGGCATACAGCTCGGCGCTACGCGCCTGCGGTTCCGGATGATCCCCTTTAGGCCTCCTTGGGGTTTGGGCCCCGTTCAAGCAGGATCGCACATGACAGATATACATATGCAGAGAGAGACACATAAGTGCTACGATGTGTAAATCTACATATAGATACACGTACATACATACCTACATACATACATACATACATACATACATACATAACATTACATTACGTTACATTACATTACACTACATTACATTACATTACATTACATTACACTACCTTACATTGCATTGCATTACATTACATTACAATACAATACATTACATTACAATACATTACATAACATACATACATGCATACATGCATACATACATACATACACACATACATACATACATGCATACATATATATATATACATACATACATACATACATACATACATACATACATGCATGCATGCATGCATGCATGCATACATACATACATACATACATACATACATACATACACTCCCCGTCGCTCGGACGTCCATTCCCTGTGCGTGGCTTTTTCGCCAAATGATCAAGGATGCTCCCCGATGGTCCTCGCCGAAGGAAAAATGCACACGTCCGAGCGATGCCAAGTACATACAGGCAATGAAACCGCACACGCGTGCGCACGCGTGCGCGTGCATAGTATACACATGCGCAGGCTGCGCTCACTACAGATCCGCCGCCTCCCGAGGTCCAGGGAGGTCGGCTCCACAGGCGGCGGCTCTCGATCCACATCTCTGCACATCCGTGTGCACTGCAGAAGAAAAACAACAACAACAACAACAACAACAACAACAACAAAACGCGCGCGCGCTTCGCGCGCGCGAGCTCAGGCTCTAGCGCAGACCGCGGTAGCGCGTCCAGAACAGAGAGGAGCGATCGGATCCCAGCGCAATCACAGGATGTTCGAACACGCGGGTGGGAATTCCAATTTCAGAGCATCATGAAGCACGCGTGCGTATATTGCATCATAAATATTCGCTTGTATGCATTACAAGGCTCAAGGCTACATGGCATCGCAATCGGTATCCCCTTCCTGCTCCTCCTCCCCATGGTCCACCTTCTCCGCCTCACCCTCTCCTTCCTCCTCGTCCTCCTCCTCCTCCTGCTCCTCCTCCTCCTCCTCAAACGTATAGTCCCCATCATCCTCCTGCTCCTGATCTTCCACTTTCTCCTCCTCCTCCTCCTCCTCCTCCTCCTCCTCCTCCTCCTCCTCCTCCTCCTCCTCCTCCTCCCCCCCACAAGGCTCTCCCATCTGATCCCCTCCACGCCCTCCCCCCTCTTGTACCCCTTGCCTTGATCCCTTCCCTCTCCATCCTCCCCTTCCCCCGCACTCTTTCCTCCTATCCCTCTCCCGTCACTACGTCCCCCCCGCCCCTCCCCTCCCCTCGCCTCCCCCTCAACCCCAGCCTCCCCCGCTCCGACACCCGCTGGCGGATGGAAAGCACAAAACAGCGAGATGGGAAGAGATGAAAGGCATGGGCAGGATGTCAGATGTAGCGCGAGCGCATCTAGCTTTGTGTTGTTCCCATCGCACTCGAGGACCACATCCCAAAAATAGTTCCGAGCACCCAGAGAAAGTGTCGAAACAGCGTCGAACGAGTATCGCCTCCCCGGGCCCGACGCGTGAGGACCCTCCAGTTTGGGTACCTTCTTGGTGCGCGAAATTCTTCCTGGTGATCAAGACTGAAGTAGGTCCACCAGGGGAGGAGGAGGAGGAGGAGGAGGAGGAGGAGGAGGAGGAGGAGGAGGACCATGCGCATGCTTAATGAGCGAAGCAAGGTTAGGCCGACCCGACCCTAACCGAAACCTAGGTGGAGGAGGATGAGGAGAGGGGAGAGGAGGATGAGAGGGGGAGGAGGAGCAGGAGGCAGGAGGAGGACAGTAGGAGGAGGAGGAGGAGGAGGAGGAGGAGGATGGAGGAGGAGGAGAGTGGAGGAGGATGAGGGGAGGAGGAGGCGGAGAGGAGGAGGAGGAGGAGGGAGGAGGGGGGACCCCGTGGGACCTCTCCCCCGTGAGACCCGCAGGAGCGAGAGCCCGGCGCGCACCCCTCCCTGCTGCCCAGAGCCGCCTGGCGCACGGGGGGGGCTCCCCGCTCGGCTCTCGGATCGCCCAGGCGCGGCGCCGCGAGCGGACCGTGTCGGGTGTTCGTTGATGGGGGGGCGGTTTAGTGGGGGGGCGGGGTCGGGGGGGAGGGCGGGGGGGGGGGGAACGTGCCCATTTCGTCCACCCTTTGGGCCACGGGGGCTCCTTCGAGTGCCCTGGAGGGCACCCAGTGGTCCACTCTGATTATCAGCCTGGAACATATCCCTGTCCCTGAGCTGGGCATCGCCTCATCACAACGCCAATCTTAGGGATTCTCTCAGTTCTTCAGGGCGCATCCCTAAGATTGTCATCGCCTCTTGGCGTGTCAATCTTAGGGATAGGGCCAAGTTCGAGGCTGGTGAGCCGAGGCCCGCTGCGCCCCCCCACGGCGCAGCGCCCGAGCGAGAAGCGCCGCGAGTGGCCCCCAGGGCCTCTGAGGGCGCCCCCGCGGGCCCCACAAGGAGCCCCCGAGGCGCTGCCGGGAGGCCCCGAGATGCCGCGAAGAAGCCCTCAAGAAGCCCCCGGAAGCTTTGGGGGGCCCGAAGTGGCACACGTGACTGCCTCCCGCGCCCCGCGAGTAGCCGCAAACCAAGATACTGGACTGGCACGGTGGCGAGACTTGCCGCAGGCAGCTGGATAGATCTATAGATCTGTATAGAGGTATATGTACAGACATGCATGTGTCCGTGTGCTAAACATACAACCAAGCTCACCTACCTACCTACCTACAGACCTACCTACCGACCGACCGACCCTTCCTACATGCCACCTATAGAATCGCATACATGTGGTCGGCGCCGTCGTCCGTCGTCCGTCGTCCGTCCTCGTATTCGTCATTGGTGTCGTCG